AGAAGGAAGGTAATGTGACTGGAGTGGAGACCATAGGTGTTTGGACCACTTCCTCATGCAGCTTACTTGTGCCTTCAGGTTCTGCTCGAGCCCGATCTCTGATATACCACTTCCATTTAATGATGGAGTGCTGCTGTGCATGTCCAACTTTATGACTCTGTGGGTCAGACAACACCCAGTTCATGATGGGCATCTCAGGCCTCATGGTCACTTGGTGGCCCATGGTTAGGCGTTAAGTCTCTACTAAAGCCAAAAGCTGTTTCTCAAAAGGAGAGTAGTTATCTGCAGAGGATGGCAGGGCTTTGCTCCAAAACCCCGAGGGTCTGTGTTGAATTCCAATAGGAACCTGCCAAAGACTCCAAACAGCATCTCTATCTACTACAGACACTTCAAGAACCATTGGATCAGCTGGATCATATGGCCCAAGTGTCAGAGCAGCCTGCACCGCAGCCTGAACCTGGTGCCACTCTGACAAGAATATATACCACAAATGAGATGGCCTTAACAAACAGGAGTTTATTCTTAAAATTTGGAGGCTTTAAGTCCAAATTCAAAGTACCAGGCTCTAGGTGCCAGGCTGGGTGAAAACCCCTCAACCTTGGGGTCCAGCTCTGCCTCCTGCTCCCAGCCCACTGGAGCTAGAAGCATTTCTTCACTCAGATAGCTATATTGGCTGCTGAGGCTGAGAAGCCCCAAAGTTGACAAGTAAAAAGGCACAGTCCCGATGTTACCAATCCACGCAGCAGGCCATTAACTTAAGTCCATTGTAAGTCCCAAGGTCGGCAGAGCATAGCAGGCTGCTCTGAGCAACAACACAGCTACATGCAGTGTCCAAGCGTGCCAAAGGCTAGAGACCATTCTCAAAGCTTCTCCTTATATCCAGGAAGCAGACCACATACCCAAAGGCAACTACTCAGCTGCTTCCAGTAGATTCCACCATGGAGTTGATTGCCAGTCTCATCATGGGGAATACTACATCCAGCTGCCCAGCCACTCAACCAGGCCTAGCCATGTTGACATACAAACATAACCATCACACCAGGGTAGAACATTTCAGGCAGAGGGACCAGTGAGGGCAAAAGCCCCATGATGGGAGCAGATGCCTCTGTTCAAGGAAGAGAATGGAGGCCATGGGGTGGAGGGCAGGAAATGAATTTGGAAAAGCCCAAATAAGAAGATTGGCTTTTAATCGCTGGACCATGGAAGTCTAGGAAAGGATCTGAGCAGAGAGATCAGTTAGGAGGTGATTGTAATTGTCCAGACAACAGGCCAGGGAACCTGGTCCAAGGTGGGGCTGGGAAGGTGGTGAGAAATGGCGGGATACTGCAGGTATGTTGAAGGTAGAGTAGTTTTTGAAGGACTTGCTGTTGGATTGGGTTGAAAGAGGACAGAAAGAGGGCTCAAGGATGGTCCCAAGGTTTCTGACCTGAGCACCCAGGAGGATGGTGTTGTCATGAGCTGAGGTAGGGAAGACTGAGAGAGAAGCAGGTTGAGAGATTGGAGATCAAGTGGTTTGATTTTGGACCTTCAGACACCTGGGAATGCCAAAGAGGCAGTTAGAGATATGAGTCTGGCGTTTGAGGTAGAGATTGGGCGGAAGATGTAAATTTAGGAATTGTTGTATATAGGTGGTGTTTAAAGCCATGTGGCTGGATGAGATCACCAGAGGAGAGAGTGTAGAAAGGATGAAAGCGCACCCAGTTCTAGCGCTTAGAGGTCAGAGCAGGAGAAGCCAGCAAGAGATGGAGCAGGTATGGCAAGAAATGGAGGAGGAGAGTGGGAGGGGACACCCAGAGAGAAAAGATGCAATGCAACACGGCCTGCCTCTATCTCCACCCAAACCCCAGGCAGCACCAATACCTTGGAGGCCCATAGAGCACATCCTTTTCCTTCTGTGCATCATCCCTTCAGAGACCTAAGACAGTGGTCATGTTGTAAACATCCCAGAATGTTCAGCCATTCCTTCTTACATCATTCCTAGCCCTTCATCACCCAACTCACCCTCCCATGCCCTGCTCCTGTTGTCTGTCTCTCTCTTACAAAGCCAAGTTCAGCACTGAGCAGGACTATCCCCTCCCTCCATTAAGACTTTCTACCTTTGTTAATGCAATCTTAGACAGAAGCAGCCCTTTTGACAGCAGCATACACAGAAGATACGACTGGGGAATGGCATGGAATTTGGGCTGGTTGAAGGGAAGGGCAATAAGGAAGGGAAGTGGGATTGGGAACATCTGAAAAGGGTTTGGGTCAGATCAAGGAAGGTCTTGACTGCCACTCCAAACAGTTTGGACTGAGGAAGGATGAAGGATCCATAGAACATTCTGAATTAGAAGAATGACACAGATGAGTTTCACTTCAAGAGGAGTCATGCTGAGTTCTCTTCATGCCCTTGTCCCTAATGAGCTCTTCCATGCTCACAGGTCAGCTCTGGTTCCAGGATGAGCAGGGGGTAGGGCAGGGAGGCCTCACTCTGAGCAGATGAGGAGTAGTGGCTGTGAGCAGCGAGGCGCCACGGAGCAGGGAGGGTTCCTAGGGTGGCAGCAGCACCACTCGTTCCTCCACATTTCCGTGAGGGCAGTGAGGCTTATATTAATGAGAGGTAATTAACAGGCACCCAATGGGCCTAAGTATAGCTCAGAGACAAAGGCGGTGTGAGGCAGCCAGCTGCTTCCTGCTGCAAGGCCCAAGCCTGCCTATTTTAAGACCTCCCCAAGGTGAGGCTCCTGCCACCCAAGGGTGCTGAGGGGCTGCTGCTCCCTGGGCCAGCACCCCTGACTGAGAGAGCTACAAGGAAGTCAGTGTGACCAGACCCTCAGCCCTTCCTCACTCAAACTTTCTATTCCCAGAGGGGGAAACTGAGGCCCAGAGAGGAGCAGAGAGCAGTCTCATTAAGTAAATGGCAGAACCAGGATTCAAATTCAGCTCCAACTCATGCACTTGCCTCTCTGCTAGGTAGCACCCCTAAACTAGAAGCCATGGTCTGCTCCCAGGAAGTACAGTCTAGTGAGGAGCAGGGACACGTGACTGGTATTTATCAAGCGCTAAATTCCAGAGGCTTTCTATATGGTGTCGCAGTTCATCCTCATCAGAATCTTGAAAAGTTGGGATCACTGCCCACATGCTATAGAATGGAACACTGAGGCTCAGAAAGAATCAATAAATCACCAAAGGTATCACAGTGAGGAGGACAAGAGGTGGAGGCCAGTTCTGTCCTGTCTTAGTTCACTTCTCTGGAAAACAGGCTTAGATGTGCACACAGAAGTTTCTTGGGAAATCTTGGGAACCCCTTTGAGAGGGAAGGGGAGCAGGCTGGGTAGAGGGAGGAGGTGAACTACAGTGCAGACACAACACAGGCCTCAGCTCACCCCTGGACAGATCTGCAGCTGGGATGGCCTTCAGGGGTTCTGAATTGGGGTGAGGGGGCTAGGCCTATGTACCCCTACATCAACTGGTTAGTGGACACAGGCTGTCCCCCAGGGAAGGGATGTAACTTTGGATGAGGCATCTCCTTTTGGCTGAGAGCAGTTCTTGGGCAGAGGCTCAGCTCTGAATGTCAGCAGCTGGTGCTCCTGGCCACTGAAGTCATGAGAACCTTGAACTGAAGGGGGATCTGGGCGGCTACCACGGGACCCACTCCATGTCCTACTGCATATATCATTTCAACCATTTAAAGGGTACAGTTCAACCCAAAATCATTTTTGAAAAAACATCAGATTTACTGGTCTGATAGAGCCTGGTGAGACCTCCAAGACTCTGGCCCCTGTTACCCTTCAGGTATGAAATTGAACTCACTCCCATGGCTTCCAGCCAGACAACAGGCTGGCATATAGAGTGAACATTTACACCAGGTAGGTACACTCGTTAGAAGGATCAATCATTGGAGAACAGAAGGGTAGTGTTTGCGCAGGGAGACAGCTCAGGGGGCAAGATTGCATAGGAAAGAAGGACACAGGGAAGAGGTAACTATAGGGAGGAAGTAGGAAGAGAGCTGTTACATTGTGGGGGTTGCAGTCAATGTCAGGAAACAAAATATGTGTGAACTGCTGTATGGAAACAATTTGTTCTGTAAACTTTCACCCAAATCACAATAAAATTTAAAACATAAATAAAGGGTACAGTTCAGGGGTGTTTAGTATGTTCACTGTTATGCAGCCATCACCACCATCATTGTTCGAGGAAGCCCTGTACCCATTCGGCAATCACTCTTCTTTCCCCTCCCCACCAGCCCCTGGGGACCACTAATCTTTTGTCTGTATAAATTTGCCTCTTCTGGACATGTTATAGAAATGAAATCATATCGTATATGGCGGCCTTTTATGTCTGTCTGCTTTCATATAACGTAATGTTTCAAGGTTCATCCATGTGGCAGTGCTTCGTTACTTTTTATTGCTAAATAATATTAATTATAAAAATAAAAGTAATTTTGTAGATATACCACATTTCGTTCATCCATTCATCCATTAATGAGCATTTGCACTATTTGGTAATTGTGAATAAGCTGCTATGAACATTCATGTACTAGTTGGAGTCACTGGGGGCATGTGGACAGAGTTTGGATGTGTAGCCTGGGTGCTGTCATGTGTGAGGCTCCTTGTGGTGGGGGACAGAATCAGAGAAGGGAAGACATGCAGGGTGGGCAGTTCTCCTACCACTACCATGTTCCAGCATGGTATCCAGAGACCAAGAATTCTGAGTTCAAACCTGGTTTTCCAAGCAATTCTGAAGATACATTCATCAGGGGAGGAGAGGAGAACATATTTTGTTGAACAGTCTATTAGCTTGATTTGAAACTTTTCAAAATGTACACATATAGTAGGTGGGTCTCCATTGGTACTCTTGTCCTGGGTCCCACACTGTTGAAAAGTTCTAGGGTTGGAGGCTCCACTGATCTCAGAGCTCCTCCCAACTCTGACATCTGTGAGGGTCTGGATGATCTTCCAGGTACCTGTCCCCTCTCAGTCCAGCCGTCTGTCTGACCCTTCTCTGTCTTCTCTCCCCAGGATAGCTGCTGCCCGGGAAAGGTGACCCGGGCGCCCTGCTAGGGCGACGGCCCCTGCCCCACGGGCCAGGATCATGAAAGGCCTCGGTGACAGCCGCCCCCGCCACCTCTCAGACAGCCTGGACCCACCACATGAGCCCCTGTTCACAGGGCCTGACCGTAACCCTTACCTGCTATCGCCCACAGAGGCCTTTGCCCGCGAAGCTCGCTTCCCAGGGCAGAACACTCTGCCAGGGGATGGCCTTTTCCCACTCAACAACCAGCTGCCACCCCCCAGCAGCACCTTCCCCCGCATCCACTACAACTCCCACTTCGAGGTGCCAGAGGAGAGCCCCTTCCCCAGCCATGCCCAGGCCACCAAGATCAACCGGCTGCCTGCCAATCTCCTGGACCAGTTTGAGAAGCAGCTGCCCATTCACCGAGATGGCTTCAGCACTCTCCAGTTCCCCCGTGGCGAGGCTAAGACCCGCGGTGAAAGCCCCGGCCGCATCCGTCACCTGGTCCACTCAGTGCAGCGGCTCTTCTTCACCAAGGCACCCTCACTGGAGGGCACAACGGGCAAGGTCGGTGGCAATGGCAGCAAGAAAGGTGGCCTGGAGGACGGCAAGGGCCGGAGGGCCAAGAGCAAGGAGCGGGCCAAGGCCGGGGAGCCTAAACGGCGCAGCCGCTCCAACATCTCAGGCTGGTGGAGCTCTGATGACAACTTGGATGGGGAAGGTGGCGCCTTCCGCAGTAGTGGTCCGGCCTCTGGGCTGATGACCCTCGGGCGCCAGGCAGAACGCAGCCAGCCGCGCTACTTCATGCACGCCTACAACACCATCAGCGGACACATGCTCAAAGCCGCCAAGAACAACACCACTGAGCTGACCGCCCCACCACCCCCGCCCGCACCCCCTGCTGCCTGCCCCAGCCTTGGGGTGGGTACTGACACCAACTATGTCAAACGGGGCTCCTGGTCCACTCTGACCCTCAGCCATGCCCACGAAGTCTGCCAGAAGACCTCGGCCACCTTGGATAAGAGCCTGCTAAAGTCCAAGTCCTGCCACCAGGGTCTAGCCTACCATTACCTGCAGGTGAGTCTCTGCCAGGGTCAGGGGTAGTATGAGGAGGATGCACGAGATACAAGGCCCAGCTGGGCCACAGATTGATTTGGGAAGTTGGTTCCCTTGGGCCTCTGTTTACTGTGCTATGAAGTGGGTGGCTGTGATACCTGCTAATAAAGGAATTTCTTCCACTGGTTGTGCTCTCACAGCTATTAATTAGGGCCCCTCCGAGCCCATTTCCTGGGAGACAGAGTAGGAACTCAAACATGTCCATGTATCTGTCTTCAGAAGATCTGGAAGCTGGCCATCCCACTTAGTATCATAGGGCCAATTGTGTTACATGCTAATAGCCACATGCCTGCTTCCTCCACCAAACTGGGGGCTCCGTGAGGACAGGAATCACCTTTAACATAGCCATATGTCCTCAAGGCCCAGGACAGGGTCTGGCATGGAGGAGGTACTCAGGAAATGTGAGAGGGAGGTGGGAGGGCTAGATGGACAGCTAGTGAACAGAGCTAGAAATAAATTAAGGCCCAGTCCTGGTTATCCTGATGCTGGAAGAAGAAAGATACACAAACAGGCAATCATGTCTTGGGATGTGATGGAGAGCCCATGGAGGCCCTAATCCAGTTTGGGGGCTAGTTTTCTTCTTTCAAATGCTAACATCCACTGAAGCACTTAGGCAGGAGGTGCAGAATGGCATGGCCTGGCTGCATACTTCTGTGGGGATCTCAAGGGCAGAGCAAACAGTTGTGGGTGGAAGTTATAGGAAACAGATTTCAGGACACTACACCATGGAAAGGGCTGCTTCTGTAGGTTATGAGACCTCATCCTGGGGGGATATGCAAACAGGCCTGGCCCAGCCTTGGGAACCAACATTAGGATGCATTTTGAACCTGGTGAGCTTTAAGATCTGACAAAGCCTCAAGTCCTGTCATTCTATATAAAATTTCAGAGTGAGACTATAAGGGAAAGGGCAGTTTTTGTTTTGTTTTGTTTCTCAGTAGGAGGAAACAGAAATCTGGGCAGTGTTTTAGGCAGTGTTTTATGTAGCCTTTAGGGCTTTTGTAGCGCTCAGTCCCCTTCCTTAGTTTGGAAACATCAGAGAGGGCGGTATGTGACCTGGCTCCTTCTCAAAATGGTGTGGTTTCGTCTGATCCTGTGAAAATGCTCAGAAGCATCATGAGGGGAAAGCCCTGTAGGCCATGGGGTTTGTGCTGCCTGCTGGGGTTATTGGGGTGGGTTGTTGGGGGAAAGGGCTGGGGCAGGTTTAGAGCAGGGAGGAACAAGGCGATGTTCCCAAGGGACAGGAGAGGGTAAGGGGGTCAAACTAGCAAGCCCTTTGGGAAGGTGGAATTCGCAGGCCCTAATGATTGGTTGAGCAGTCACCTGGGGGGTTGTGGGAGGGCTGTGGGGGGTCTGTGAGGTGGAACATCAGCCAGAATCAGCTACTGGCACTGAGGGCACTAAGAAGGATGTGGCACCTGTGTGAACATGGTGATGACGGGAGTGTCCATTTGTGTGCTGTGTACACTGAAATGTGTGGGCCGGGGGTTCATGATGAATGCACATCTAGTATGTATTAAGGCAAAGACACAGTGAGGTGGGTACATGCCAAGATGTGTCCACATGCAGTGGTTGCTAGTGCATATGTGAGGAGGGGTGTGACTATGGTGAGGTGTGACTGTGAGGTGTGTAGGCCCTGTGTACATGTTGAGGTGTGTGTACGTGGTGAAGTGGCTGCCAGTGTGTGTCCTTAGTGGTCTGTGGTACACTGTGAGCGCTTGCTCACAGACATATGTTGGCTCTCTGCACATGCTGAGTTGTGTGTACACAGTGAGGTGTGACACTCTGCTGACTGAAGGTCGTGTCAGTGCTGAAATGTGTGATTACTTCCTTATGAGGTGAGCATCCACTGTGTGGACATGACAGTTAAGAAGTGAAGGAGGGTGTAGACTGTGTGCTCCCTCGAAACAGCAACAGAGCTTGGCTGGAGAGGGCTGGGGAGGTCTTCTCACTGCCACCAACACTCCTGGGGATTCAGAGATTCGGGGCTAAGATACTGCCCTTACAGCTGTGACCTCATCTGACTGCTAATCAGGTTGGCAATTCAAGGCCACCAGCTGTTCTACAAAAGGAAGATGGGATAGTCTACTTTCTTAAAGGAGTTCTGGTAGCATAGTGCCTAAGGCACATGACTGCTAACCAGAAAGCTGGCGGTTCAAACCCACCAGCCACTACAAGGAAGGACGGTTGGGCAATCTACTTCTGTAGTGATACTGCCTCGGCCTCCCAAGGAGGGGTCGCTATGAGTCGGGTCCAACTCGACAGCACATAACAATAACAACTTCCTTAAAGATTTATTGCCTCAGAAACCCAACAAGCGTCGCTCTGAGTCCGAATCCACTTGATGACAGTGAGTTTGGTTTGGTATTCCAGGTTCAGATGGAGAAACTGAGCCCTTTCCATCTCACCAGGTGACTGCTTGACAACCAGGCAAGCTCCTCTTTTCCTGTATCAGTTTCCCCATCTGTGAGATAAGGAATGGTGACTGGCTCTGAGGATGCTGCCCCCTCCTGGTGTGTCTGGATCCCCTGAGCATCTCACCAGCAGCAGCCCAGGGTCAGGCTCCGGTTCCAGGTCTGCAGACTTCTCCCTCCCTCAAGCCCGGTGTTCTCACCTACACAAAAGCATCACGAGCATCTTCAGAGTGCGCGCACAAGACGGGGAAAGACATTGTGATCATGGCCTGGGGCGGTGTTGCTGGGGCGAACCCAGCCTGGGATCCGCAGCGAAATCTGAGGACCGGGAGAAGGACAGGGACCTGCTTAAGGCCATTCAGTGAGGTGGTGGCAGAGCCAGGTCCGGACCTAAGTGTCCTCCTCCCCAGACCAGGGCTCTGCTTTGCTGCTGGGTGTTTTCGATGGCTGTAAACTAGCCCAGAAGCCAAACTCTCCAAAGTGGGGAGCGAGAGAGAGTCAGGGTTCGGCGCCGAAGTTTCTCACCCTCGGTTCTCTTTCCGGGTGAGGAGCCCGAGGCTGGGTGGCTGGCGGGGAGCCGGAGAGTGTGGCCTACCCTCCGCGTTATCTCCGCTGAGCTCTGTCCTGCATCCCCAGGTGCCCGGCGGCGGCGGCGAGTGGAGCACCGCGCTGTTGTCCCCGCGCGAGGCGGACGCCTCGGCCGAGGGGCCCATCCCATGCCGGCGCATGCGCAGCGGCAGCTATATCAAGGCTATGGGCGACGAGGACAGTGACGAGTCCGGAGGCAGCCCCAAGCCCTCACCCAAGACCGCGGCGCGGCGCCAGAGCTACTTGAGGGCCACGCAGCAGTCGCTCGGAGAGCAGAGCAACCCCCGCAGGTGCGCACGCAGCCCCGCCCCTAGTCCCGCCCACAGGCAGGCGCTGCCCCCGGGAGCTCCGCCCCTGGGAAAGCCTCTCCGAGGTCTGAGCCGGCTTGGGGAAGATCTAACGGCGCTGGTGATTCCTGCCCGCTGGGAGCTCTATCCCTGTGGAGTCCCGGCCACCCGCAAGCCCCGCCCCTTTGTGATTCCTACCGCCTAAGTAGACCCCTCTTCCTTAAAGTGAACTCCGCCCCCCGTGGGAACCCTGCGCACCGACCATCCCTGGGTCTTGGGGTCATACGCCTTTAGGTGAGCCCCGTTCACGTGAGGTCTGTTCTCACAAGCGAGCGCCGCCGTTCACAGACAAGCCTTGCCCCTTAGCTGAACCTCTCACACGTGTACCACCGCCCTTGGGAGCCTGGGCTGTGGTGAGCCGCCCCCACCCCCACCCCCAGCGGTGCCCTGCAGATGAATCCAGCCCTCCAGCCTCAGATTCAGGTCCTCGAGGTGAACCCGCCCTCAGGTTAGCCCAGTCCCTGAGATCCTTGGGGTTGGCTACTTCACTCTGATGAGTTGACTCATCAGCCCAGCACTTTGAGGAACCACCCCATGGACCCCACTCACAGTTAAGTCCTGGCCACAGATGAGCCCTATTTTGTGCCCAATAAGAAGAATCTCTCTGGTGACTGACCCAGATAAACTCTACCCATAGGAGCCACATCCCCAGGTGAGTTCCATTTCCAGAGCGTCTGCCAGGGGATCCTCATCTTCAGTTTAGGAGCTCTCTGCTCTCGGTGAGCTCAGCACACTTACCAGCACGTCCCAGGGAAGTCCAGAGCCTCTGTAACTCGTCCTCACACAGAGCTCCAAGATTGGTGTGTCAGAAGTTAGAGAAAGAGAGAGACAGCCTTCACCTGTCCCATAACCCTGTCTGGAAGCCGTGATTCTGCCCACCTTCTGTTGCTTAAGACTTGGAAGAGTTAGAGGGGACGATCTTATTCCTAGTTGAACCAGCACCAAGCAGTAGCATCAAGCATGGAGGGAGCAAAAGTCTAGTTGGCTGGTGCAGAAGCCAGGGGAATTGGTGGGAAACTACTGGCCAGTTCCAAGTGTGCCCCTCTCTGAGCCTCAGCATCCCCACTTTAACTGAGGGGACTGAGCTGGAGGAGCTCTAAGACCCTTGCTAGTCCTGAGATCCTAGGACTCTGTGAATGACTAGTGGGTGTTAAGGTGGGAGAGGTGGGCAAGGTCAAGGCACAGGCCTTGAATGACAGGAAATCAGTACTAGTAACGGGACTATTACCATTTGCTGCCTGCGGCCCTGCTGTACCATGATCAGTATCATTGCATCTTCCCCACAGCCCAGCAGGCAGGCAGTGTCATCCCACTGTGAAAGCAAGGAAACAGGCTTAACAAGGGATAGTGACCTGCCAGGGTCACCTAGCAAAGACGCTGGATTCCAGTTCAATCCAGGACCTGAGCTGCTGGCTGCTTGGGTTTTATCCCTAGAGCTGGGGTCAGGGAGGGTCCAGGGTCAGGCAGCTGTGAGAAAGATGGAGGAGGTGGGGCATGGGGAGAAGAGGTGAGTCTCCAGGGACCTGGCAATGTAGAAAAAACTGAGGCCAAGGCCTTCCGCCTCTGGGATTGCCCTAGATGAGCAGAGGCCAGCCAACAGTGTTGCCATCAAGGGGCTTCCCTGAATCCTAGCAATCCCATTGGGCAGAGTAGGATTTCCAAGGCTGTATTCTTTGCAGAAGCAGACTGCCACATCTTTCTACTGTGGAGCAGTTGGTGAGTTTGAGTCACTGACCTTTTAGTTAGCAGCCAAGTGCTTAAACCACTGTGTGTCAACAAAGCTCCTTTAGGGAAAAGGCAGGGACTGCAAAATTGGGCTGGGCTGGGTTTGAGTTTGAAATGGTCAACTGCGAGCTGGTGCTGCCATCTCGTGGCTGCAGTGGGCATGACAGGTGAGGGCCACCTTTATCCTCCAGATTCACCATACAGTCAAGACCTCCTAAAGCTGGGCACTCTCCCCTAGTTCTTCACTCTCGACCACTGTCTGGGCTGTCAGTAACTTCCCTTGTACCCTCTGCTACTGGATGACTTTGGCCAGTCTTTTCCCCTTTGGGTCTCAGTTTCCCAGGCTGAACAATGGGTGGGCTGAGCCCCATCTGCTCCCCACCCCCTACCAGGAGTCTGGACCGCCTGGATTCAGTGGACATGCTTCTACCCTCCAAGTGTCCAAGCTGGGAGGAGGACTACAACCCCATAAGCGACAGCCTCAACGACTCCAGCTGCATCAGCCAGGTGAGGGTGGTGAGCACGCCGAAAGACCAGTGGGCTTAGGAGGGCCGAGCCTCTGCCCCTCAGCTCATTGACTCCCATCCAGGAAAGGGACAGATGTCCGGGCACTGTTGAGTGGTCCCCAGATGTCTGCACTGTGTTTCTGTTTAGTCTTTTCTTTGTTCCCGAGGCTGCCTGTGTGTGTCACTCCGCTCCACCTGCTATCCCTGTGGCAGGGCCTGACACGTGTGACCTCTTGAGCCAAGGGCCCTAAGGAAGGGGCCATATCACTGTTGTCAACCAGACTGGGGTAGGGGGCTCTTTCCACCTCTCCTTGGGTTCTGAACCATGAGGACAGGGAACTGAAGACCTGGGTTCAAGCCCCCATCTTGTCTCTGACAGTATGACCCAGGACAAGTCATATCTCTTCCCTGAGCCTCAGTTTCCTGACTTACTACAGGAGGGTGATCATTCCTAGTTCAGAGGGTTGGAGTGAGGACTAAATGAGATAAACAACTGAATATGCTCAGCAAAGGGTAGCTGTTGTTATAGTTTTTGTTGTCACCTTGCTGTGTGTCCTTGGGCAAGTTGCTTTTCTACTCTGGAGCTCCGTGTCCCATCTAATCAGTGAAAAGCTGGACTTCTAGAGCCCAGACAGCTCTGCCATGAGTAGCAATGAGCACTCTGTACTGGACTTTTAATTTACCAGCTGCTCTCTCAACACTCAGCTCCTTGAACCCTCACCACAGTCACCCCCAACTAAAAACCCAAACTTACTGCCATCGAGTCAGTTCGACTCATATGACCCTTCTTGGGTTTCTGAGGCAGTATCACTTTGGAAGTAGATTGCCCAATTTTCCTTCCGAGGAGTGCCTGGTGGATTTGAACTGCCACCCTTCTGGTTACCAGTCAAATGCCTTAGGCACTGTGCCACCAGAGCTCCCTCCAGGAAGCCTTATTATCCATTTCCCCACTCCACTGATAGGAAACCGAGGCTCAGACAGATGCTGTCATGTCCCAAGGAGGAGGCGAAGCTGGGCAGGGATCTAGGACTGTCACACCTCACACCTGGACCCCAGCTTCTGCCATGTGCACAGTGTTTTAGGGTTTGCAAAGAGAAGCCAGCCCAAGCTCAAGGGTTCCTCCTTTGGTATGGACTGGGAGGCCTGAAGCTGGTAGACACCTGCATATAGTAGCACAGTGAGGCAGTGGGGCATCCAGGTGCAGACCAGCCTCTTTTTGGGGCAGGAGCAGGCCGCAGGTCCCACAGGGAGGCTTTGGGGCCTCATCTCCTCACCACTCCATTGTTCCTGGCCTGGCTAAGCCCTCTCCAGGTCCCTACCCCCAGCACTGTCATTCCCAGACTCCTGGGAGACTGACTTCAGACGTGGGGAAGGGTAGAGGGCCCCAGCCCACGGGACCCTCTGCCCCTGCCACCCTCATCCAGGCCCCACCAAGTGTCACCTGAACTGCTGCCTGGCCTCCATGGCTGCCACCTCCAATCCATTCCCAGCGGCCAGAGGGAGCTTGTAAGAGATGTAAGTCAGATCACACACACCTCCCCCTGCTCCAAACCCTTCCATGGCTTCCCCCTTACTCCAAGTAAAAGCCCGAGTCCTTACTTGAACCCATGGGGCCCCGTGAGGTCCAGGCCCAGCCTCCCTCTTGGACCTGATATCCTATGAGCCCTACTGCTCACCCAGCGCCAGCCACTCTGGCCTCCTTCCCACTCTTCACACACCAACCAGTCACTTTATTCCTGCCTCAGGTTGTTGCGTTTGCTGTTCCTGCTAGCAGGAACACTGTTCTTTCAAATCTAGGCAAGAATGAAATATCACCTCCTCAGAAAAGCCTTCTACATCCTCTGCCTAAACTAGCCCCCAGGCACTGTTCCCTCCCCATTTTTTGTCTTGTCAGCACTTATCACTATCTGAAATTTTATCTGTTTGCTTATTTATTTAATGACTGTCTCTCAGTTAAGAGGGTGGGACCTTGCTATCCTGTCCCCATGGTGTTCCCAGCATCTGGCCTGTGCCTGGCCCAGGGCAGGGGCCCAATAGGTGTTTGCTGAATGGACAGCATCCTTCCCTGTCTGTCATACCAGGTTCTCTTGTCTTTCAGTCTCCTTGTCTCTCTGTCTGTCTCCCTCTGTTTTTCTCTCTCTGTTCCATCTCTTCTAATTCACATTTTTCCCTGAGTCTTTCCAGTCTGTCTTCATCTCCATGTTTCTCTCTGTGTGTCTCTTACACACACCCTATCTCCATCTCTTCCTGGCTCTGGCAACTGGAATAGTTTTGCCCTTTGACAATACAAGGCTTGTGGGGTCAGCCAGGCTGGGGACCCCAGCAGCTCTTGCCCGTCACCTTTTGCTCAGCCCCAGCTGTCTCTTAGTCCAAGGTCCTCTGACTGCCAAGGCCCACTTACTCATGAGCTTGAGCTGACCCAAGCTACATATGTGGCCCTAAAGTTAGAGATGTCCCAGCTCGGGCTATGTCTCCAAGGCCTGGATGCCTGCCAGAAGGAGCCCCTGTCCCACCAGGAGCTAGACTACTTAGGTCCTGCCTGGGAGGAGATGGCTCTGGGCTCCATGCCTAATCAGTAGATTCTGGTGGGCTGCCCACCCAGGTTAGATGCAGCAGAAATGGCATCCATAGCCCCCAGGACCAGGCCAAGAGAAAGACCTATAAACAATAGCACATAAGTCCTCCACCATGCCCAGCCCCAGGAGGAGTGAGCCTCCTATCCCAAAAAAACAAACTCACTGCCATCAAGTTGATTGTGACTCATAGTGACCCCTCCTGGGATCCCCCAGGCAATCTCTCTATGGAAGTAGATTGCCCAGTCTTCCTTCCAAGGAGTGGCTGGTGGGTTTGAACCACCAGCATTCTGGTTAGCAGTCAAGTGCCTTAGCCAGAGCTCCCAAGAGGAAGCCAAATGAGACATCCTAGCATCAGGGTCTTACCCAGCCTGGAGAAAAGGTTAGACAAGCCAGCCCCAAGTTTTCTTGTAGCCAAGCCTGTATATCCCACTCTAGCCCCCAATCCTGGTCTCCCCTGTAACCCTCCCCCTCTCTTTCCTGCAGATTTTTGGACAGGCCTCCCTGATCCCCCAGTTGTTTGGCCATGAGCAGCAGGTCAGTATGTTTGCCATTCTCTCATACCCCAACTCCAGAGTCCAGGGCCAGGTCTTAGGCCTGGCATCTGAGTGGTCTTAGCCCCTCCACCCGGACAAGTACAAACAGTTGCCACAAGGAAAGCTGCCATCAGTGAGGATAGAGTTGAGGCCCACACTGGTCCCCTGAGCCTCCCCTCCCTACCCTTATTGCTTTACTTCTCTGTGCCTCAGTTTCCTCTTAAAAGTGGGAAAGAATGAGCTAGGTTCTATGGCTGAGGCAAGGAACAACTTCAAGTTAATGGAAGGCAGTCCCTGAAAGTCCTCTGCCTCTTCGCTCCTCTCCTCCCTGCAATCCTGGATTAAGCCAGGAAGTTTTTTATTTGGCCATCCCAAAATAAAATAGCAGGGGCCTCTAGCTCCCAGCCTCCAAAGCCCCTGACTTTTCTCCTTTCCAGTGCCCCAGTAGGGCCTTTCAGGATGTTGGGGGTGTGGGGATGAATGTGGAGAATGTTTTACAAAGTGGATGGAGTTGGTGCCAGTCCTGGCTGTATCTGGCTGTCCTAAGGATGCCCTCTCCCAGGTACACCCATCCTGGCCCTGGAAGTGGGCCCCTCTCTCCCTGGCTCTAACCCCAAGACCAGAAAGTAGGGTAGGAAAGGTGGTCTGAGCTCAACCTCTCATTGTAGCCTGGAGTGGGCAAGGGACTCATCTAAGGCCACATGTCCTGTGGGAGCAAAATTAGGACTGGACCCACATCTCCTGATCCCAGCCTCAGATGCTTTTCTCTGTCCTCCTCCCACACACACATCTGAGCGCCTTTTGTACACATTATTCCAAAGGGTCTTTGGGGAGCCCACAGTGGGCCAGGCAGTGAGGGTTGTTCCCCTCTCTGAGCCACCTCTAACAGAACGACAGTACCTACTTCAATGGGGTTGTGGTGAGGGTGCCATGTGTCATTGTACAAAGCCCCTACACAGGAGGTCCTTGATGATAGACATACCGGCAGCACGGGCCAGCTCATCCCCACCCCCAGCTTGGGACCATCTTGGCCCAGCATGTACAAATCCCCATACTTGCTCCACAGAACTGTCTGTTATAAATACAGGCACTTACTATCCCAGACACTATCCTAAGCATGTGATGGGCGTTGTTTTATCTTGACAAGAACCCTATGAAGTTAGGATTATAGTTAGCCACATTTTTATAGGGTGGGGAACTGAGACACGGAGAGGTTAAGTGACTTGTCCACGTTCATATTGTGAGGAAGGGATGGACCCAAGAGTCAAGACCTGGCAATCTGGTTCAGAGCTATGCCATTGTCACAATCCCAAAGTAAGACCTCGTTAGTCACAGGAGCATCTCGGTATGCTGCAAGTCACAGCAAAAGGGTGACGCTTCCCTCTTTATTATCCTCCCTCCTGGTGATTTTGGCTCTGCCACATAACCTATATTTTAATGCATCAGCGCTGTCCTATAGAACTTTCTGCAATGATGGAAGTGTTCTATAATCTGTGTTATCCAGTTAGGCAGCCACATGTCCATATGTCGCTGTTGAGCAAGTAGAATGTGGCTGGTGTGACTATGCCAAAACCAACCTGTTGTCATTGAGTCATTTCAGAGTAGAACTTCCCCCCACTGGGTTTCCAAGGCTGTAAGTCCTTACAGAAGCAGACCACCCCATCTTTTTCCCGTGGGATGGATGGTGGGTTGGGACCTCTGCTCTTTCAGTTAGCAGCCAAGCACTTAACTGCTGTGCCGCAAGGGCTTTTAGTGTGACTCTAGTAGCCACTAGCCATATGTGGCTGAAAAAAAAAAAAAAACTCAATGCCATTGAGTCGATTAGACTCATACCCATCCATGGGTTTCTGAGGAGGTATCACTATGGAAGTAGATTGCCCAATCTTCCTTCCGAGGAGTGGCTGTTGGGTTTGAACCGCCAGCCTTCTGGTTAGCAGTCAGATGCCTTAGCCACTATGCCATCAGAGCTCCCATGTGGCTATTTTGGGTTAAATTAATTAAGAGAAAACTAAGTGTAAAATTCTGTTTTATATTTTAATTAATTTAAACCTAAATAGCCATATATGGCTAGCACTACAGTGGACAGCACAGATTTTGACCTTTCCAAACATGTTCTCCAAATTGGGTGACGATTTATTTTGTCATTTTATGTAATGCTCTTAGACAAGAACACAGGCATTCCATTTCAATTAGATGAGGAAAAACTGACCCAGACCAGGATAGTGATGGCCTGAGGTCATAAAGCCAGGTCAGAGGCAGAGCTAGCCCCCAGGCCCAACTCCATCTTTTCCCCACATAACCCTTAGTCTATCCCAGGCCTTTCCCTCAGACCTTCACTAAGGGCCCATATTTGGCCAGCTGACTCCCCAGGTTATATGCCCTGTGGTCCTCAGTTACCAACATGTCAGGAGGTATGGGTCAGATAGACCCTTCCAGAAGTCTTGGAGAGTGTGTATTGTGAGGGGGTAAAATAGAGAAGCAAAGCCATAGATTTGCAGGATCCTACATGGTCATCTCTGGAACACTTAGAAACCATCTAGACAAGGTAGAGCTAGATGCAAGATGGCAAATAGCATATATACCACCATTCTAAAAGCTGCCCATGGCAGACATCACTAATCAATCCTCACTGCTGCTGCCCTCATTCCAGTCTTCTCTCACCAAACTGTTACATGAGCATCATCTCTAACCTCTTGCCTCCATTCCAGACCCCCATCCAATACCTGTCCTTTACCCTAGGCTGGATTAATCATCCTTAAATATATATTTTGAGTGTTGGTTCTTCCACTTCCTCAAATCAGGCCTCTGGCAAGAGTCTTCCCCTCACTGACCTTCTGTTTCTTTGCTTGTAAAATGAAAGGATTGGACCATAGCATGGTAAATATCAGTCTACCTGCTGTACTCACCCCCATTCCAATGTTACTCATTGATTACATCCTTCTTTCCTGCTGAACTCCGATGTGACCTCAAAATCTACTACCAGTTGACACACAAGTGTGGGGACACGAGATGAAATCTAGTTAACATCCTACAATATTCCAACTTTTTTCCTCATTTTAGAGATGAGAAAATTGAGACCCAGAGAAGGGACATGGCTTGCCCAAGATCCCACCTCAAAGGTTGTGTATTTCTTAAGGGCTGTATCTGCCCATCCTAGACCCCAAGTGAGATGGGTGGGATGGGAAGTGAGGTCTCTCAGACTCTGCAGGCCCGCAGCTGAGCCAGCCACCAGGCACCCCTACCCCCAGGATGGGCAGAGCTGGCCCCTGACACCTGCCTTTGCCGGGACAGGTACGGGAGGCAGATCTGAGCGACCAGTATGAGGCAGCCTGCGAGTCGGCCTGCAGTGAAGCAGAGTCGGCAGCAGCAGAGGCTCTTGACTTGCCACTGCCCAGCTACTTCCGCTCCCGCAGCCACAGCTACCTGCGGGCCATCCAAGCGGGCTGCTCGCAGGAGGAGGACAGTGTCTCCCTGCAGTCTCTCTCCCCACCGCCCAGTACCGGCAGCCTCAGCAACAGCCGCACGCTTCCAAGTGAGTCCCATGATGGGGGGCGTGGGGAGGATTACTTTGAAAAAATCCAAGGTACCAAGCCCCTGGGGAATTCTGGGGAGGAATCATGGGCTGCCCAGGACTGGAGAGATGGCGCAAGGCCTCGGGGCTGACCTGTAGACCCACTGGCAAATGGGAACTCAAATGGGCATCACAGAGACAGATGCCACCTGTGATGCAGGGATTTGGACAGGGCTGGAACTTTTGGGATGCTTGATTGCCCCTGAGTCCCCTGAGCTGGTCCAGCTCCCTGGCTTAGAGCAGCCACTGCTGGTGGGCAGGCCTTACAGAAGCCCTACCTACCTGTTTGGATAGTTCACGTAGGCAAGCCTACGGGGAGGGGCAGGGTGGGCAGGGTGGGCAGAGCCTGCAGGGAGAGGGCAGCATCTGCATTGAGCCCTCTCCAAGGGACAGGTTTGCAGGTGTCTCTCATATCCACAGTGCGAGCTATTACCTTTCCTGATTCTAGTTCTAAATCCTCATGACTGATCAGAGAAAAGATGGACCCTCAGTCACTGAATGAAATAATAAACAGAAAATCAAGACCAAGTGAAAACATAGCAGTTTCTGGTTTAGGAGAGAGGGTTTGGGGCTTACTCTCGCTAGCTAATTCTCTAAGCCTGCTTTTCCATCCATAAATTGACAGCATAAGCTGGACCCCAGAGAGCTCGAGGAGATTAAATAACACTGCTTAAGGAGAGTGTTGCCAGGGCTTTGCACATGGTAGGAGCTTAACAAGTGGTAGCTTTTATTCCTGGTTCTCAGACTTGACACTGAAACTTCCGTACCAAAGCCATAAAGGCGAGTGGGGTTGGATTGGTGTAAGAAGAGAAACAACTGTTTCAAGCATTCAATTGGTGTTTAATGCAAATGAACTGGAGCCCATAGATACTCTGTACACAGGTACCCAACTTATTGACTGAATGAACTGGTCTTTGCAGGGGGCAGAGCAAGAAAAAATTTGTTTTCATCATTGCCTTTTAAATCCACTCTGATCTTCCCGCCCTAGACTTAGGATACGTTGGGCACATCAGGCCTCTGTGAGACCATGCCCTTAAGTTTTCTGGAAGCTCTTCTGACCAGATAAGGGCCTTGGCTACATGGCACTTTCTTATTTTTCAGAATGTTAATGAATGTACTGCAGCTACGCTAATGACACATACCCAGTCATACACTTGAGTACCTACTGAAGTCGTTGTTGTCTGCCCTGGAGTCAATTCTCACTCATAGCGCCACTACAGGACAGAGTAGAACTGCCCCATGGTGTTTCCTAGGCTGTAATCTTTATGGGAGCGGATTGTCAGATCTTTTCGCCTTGGAGCAACTGGTGGGTTCAAACCATCGACCTTTTAGTTTGCAGCCGAGTGCTTAATCATTGCACCACTAGGGCTCCTTGTACTTATGTACAGATACATACACATTTTTGTATGCTTAGATACATACACATTTTTGTATGCTTACCACAAAATACACACACACACACACACACACACACACACACACACACACACACATATATATATAAAGAAGCTCTGGTAGCATAGTGCCTAAGGCATTTGACTGCTAACCAGAGGGCTGGCAGTTCAAACCCACCAGACACTCCTCGGAAGGAAGGTTGGGCAATATACTTCTGTAGTGATACCACCTTGGAAACCCAAGGAGGGGTCGCTGTGAGTTGGGTCTGACTCGACGGCACATAACAACCACCACCACCACCACAAAAATATACCTAATAGCTAGAGACACCTGCACATACACTCACATACATGTGTGTCTCCTTCAAGGCTCCTGTCATTTCCACACCTGTAAGCAAATCATGTCGCCAGTGCAAAAAAAAAAAGAATTCTCACCTGGGCCCTCAGGGGGCATCCTGTGTTACCCTGCTCAGCCTTCCTTTTCAGATGTCGACAGCCACCACTGCTGACTTGCCCCTTTCCCCTCAAGCATCTGATCCTCTTGTGCTTAGGAGGTAAATACACCCACCTCGAAGGCAAAATGGAAGCCACCAGTTCTTCAGACCTGTGCCCAGAGCTGCAGCTGGGCCATGCAGTACGTCTGTGCTGAGTTACAAAAGGGCACTCCTCCTTAAGACACTTGACTGCCATCTGTTAAAAATTGTCATAATGCATAGCTTTTATTAGAACAAGGCCCTTGACTGCCATCTGCCAGAAATTTGTTGTAATAATTATATAATTCAGTTATGTCTATGCTGTGAACAACACTTCCTGCCTTGTATGTAGCGTCCTTAATCAGTGTAAAACGTTTGCAGCTATACATGGTCGTCCTCCCTGTGGTCACCTCCCTTCACACAGACATACACAACACACACAGGCACACCCTTACTCAGCCACGGTCCTCCCCCAGGGTCACCCCTGCTCAGAAGACTGCCCTACCTCCTCAGGGTCTGTCTCCCTAGTTTTTCTGAGCCCCCAAGTTGTTAAGGAGCATGAAAGCTCTCTGTCACTTTCACATGGGCACGTAAGCACTCATGCCATATGCAGGCGGGTGGGTAGACATGGGTGAGGGGCCTTTTCGAGGCCATCAGAGCTTGGCAAGGGCTGGGCCATGAGGAGTGGCTGTGGGCAAGGCATGGAACTGCCCACCCACCCACAGCTAGCCAGCTTCCCTGCTGCCAGCACTCAGCTGCCATCCCCTTTCCCTCCCCCTTTCTGACCCAGATTCTACATTCCAGAAATAGCTCCGGCAGGTGACTGGCAGGCGGGGGGCAGCTCCATCTGGGAGGGTGGGGGAGCAGCAGCTTGGCTGCATGTACACAGCCTGCTCCTCCCCAGTCAAAGGACCAACCTGGGAGGGGTCCCCAGGAGGGGCTGCAGGGGCACCCTTACCTCTCAGTCTGCCCCTCCTCCTGTGTCTCCTCTCTAGCCTCTGAGAAAGAGGGGGAGCGAGCTGAGGCAGCTCCCTTCTAGTCCCTCCTTTTCCTTCCTCTGCCCACCTTTCCTCAATCCTCTCTCCTTTTCTCCATCGCTTCCTTCTAGCTTCCCTTCCCCTTCCTCCTTCTCTCTCTACTTCCGTCTTGGCCTTCTGTCTGTCTCCCTCAGTCTTCTGTTTCTCTCCCCACGCTCTCCCTCTCTTCCTGGCCCTCCCCCACACCCACTCCTTTCCATGTCTCTCCCACTCTCTGAATCACAAGGGAGACTGTGACACCCCCCAGGGGGCTCAGCAAGCATCATGGTGATGCAGTGGTGGGCTGCGCGTGGCACCCCCCACTCCTGTCAACTGCACTCTGCACCTGTGCATGGATTACCTGGGTGCAAACACACACAAGTACCCACACTTGGGGTTTCTACTTGGCAGTGCTTGAGGCTCTGGGCTGAACTGGGGTAGATTCCAGGCCTGGGAAACACCCTTGTTCCTTGCTTAAAGGGTCTGAGTCTCAGCTCTGCTATGTGACTCTGGGTGGGTCCCTGCCCCTCGCTGGGCCTCAAAGTCTCCATTGGTGTTGTGATGGCATGGGGACCCCCAAGCACCTCTTATCTATGAACATCTAAGACCCTCACTCTGCTCTGCCCTCTCTTCCCCACCCCTGGAGCTCTCCTGCTTTCTCCTCTGATCCACAGCCCCCACCAGCAGACACAGGAGAGGCTTACCAAATTCCAGGAAGCACTCAATCCTCCAATCAATTTTGTTCCCTAGCACCACCCTCTGCTCAGCCCATTCAGTGCCCACAGTGTTGAGGCCAAGAAGAGCCTCAAAGAACATCTAGTCCAGAGACTGCAAATAGATTTCAATTTGTGTGTCATCTTTGATTTCTGGAGCTCAGGACTGAGATTGAGTTAAGCAAAGAAGTGTGCCACCATCGATTACTGATGTCTGCCATGGTGGGCATAGGTACACATATCTGCTATTTCTGATTTAGCCCACATCTTCCCAGCATTCACACATACACACAACCACATGTAGGCATTTTACACACAGAAACTATAGCCTAGAGAAAGTGAATGACTTGATCTTAGTCAATGAACTGTGTTTCCCAGGTGGTGGAGCCACCTGGCTTGAAAGCCTTGTGTTCCATTCTTCTGTGTGTGTGGGAGCCATCTGAGGTCCTGGAGAAGAGGTACTGTATGGCCATGGCGTTTCAGGGGGAGCCATTTGGCAACATGGGCAGATGGTTTGGAGGCAGGGAGGCCACTCAGAGGCTGAGTCCAGGTGAGGAACAGGGAGGTCTAGGCAGGGGGCTGTTGGGGTCGGGGAGGAGTGGAAGGACTCAGGAGGCCAAAGGAGGAAGGACTCAGAGGAGCCAAAATTCCTGCTGCTGAAATGGGCAGCTCCCCACAGAGTGCACTGGAAAGAAGGCAGGCTTTCTCCCTGGGCTCCACCAAGCCCTTGGACCAGGACCTACCTGGTGTATTGAGCATCACTTGTGTACCCAGTGCACAGATCATCACTCTTCTGAGCCCCATTTTTAGGCAGATCTGTTGAGCTTTCTTGGAGAAATAGTGATGGGGACTTAAGGCCTGGTGGGCAGGTCTCAAATACTAGCATTGAGACTCTGGGCCACCTTATACCCTCAGGGGTAGAGAGTCACCCCAAAGGAGGAGAGACTGAGGTGCTTAAATAGAACTATGGAGATCCTGTAGGCAGCACAGTGGTTAAGGGCATGAGCCTTATAGTCAGAAAGCCCTTTACTCAACAGGTGTTTATCTGTCACCTGCTATGAGCCTAGCAGTGCTCAAGGCACCAGAGAGACATCAGTGAACAAAACAACTAAACCCCTGCCTTCATGGAGTAGATATTATTTTTGGGGTATGGAGAGGCAGGCAAAGCAATAAACATAAAGAAGTATATCCATATGGTTTCCTTCGAAACTGTTAAATGCTATGAAAAATAATGCTGCAGGGTAAAGGTTATTGGGAGTTCTGATAGGGTGAGGGGAGGGGTGTTGCTATGTAAACAGGCTCCCAAAACCAAACCCACTGTCATCGAGTCAGTTCTGACTCACAGGAATCCCCATTGGGTTTCCA